TCTAATTCTCTAGGACTGTGTCGAAGGAGAAAATACATTCGTTGGAAGAACCCCCGACTGCTGCTTAGAGGACTACATGTGATGAGTCGTTAACATCAAAGACCTGCTGCTGTTTGGTGTTTTCTCCTCAACAGCAGTTAAGGGGAAAGGTCTGCCCTCAGGGCAGCATCAAACCGACCCCCCTGTAAATGTGCTGGGTGACTCAGGGTTCTACAACCCGAGAGCCTGCCTCACCCTCATCTTTCCGTTCCTCGTGAAGCACCGAGAACACAGACTTTTCCAAGACCAGAGCTGAGCAGGCGGGAGAGCGTGGACCTCGGCAGGTGACCGTGTAGAAAGATGACAGTCTCCTTCCCAACTCCCTTCCACAATTTCAACCCAAGTTACCCTCCTGCTGTTTCTTCAAACACCATTTTCTTAAAATAGCGATTTCTAAGAATTAGATCCTTCTATTCCAAGGTGAAGACCTTGCGTTGAAACATTTTTTTTTTCCCAAACAGCCATTAGAACAGAGTTGATCACTCTTCCTTTTTAAAAAAATCGAGGTATTGACATGCAGCATTACGCCTGGTTCGGGTGTGCAAGGTCACGATTGGAGATGTGTATGCGCGTAACTGGGAATGAGCACCCCCGAGTTGAAACACTCTCCTTCGTTCCCCCACTTCTCCGACAGCTCCTTCTGGGTCGGATTGGCAGCCAGTCCTCCCTTTTCCTGCCTGATCTGAGTCCTTCTTCCTCGAAACTCCCCTCAGTCGCTAGTGACACTCCGTCTCGAAGTGGCCTCACCGGTCCCCTGGGCACTTACACACTGAGAGCTGCCTTGTTCCTGTCCTGGTTTTGCCTCGAAACTCCAGGTCCCCTGGGGAAGCTGGCCGGCAGCGCAGACTGGACACGTCCACGCTGGCTCCGGGAACCCTGCGGAACTGCTTCCCCAGTGTCCTGGTGTCAGGAAACGGCGACTCCGTTCACCCAGTTTCTCGGGACAAAATCCTCCGAGTCACACACAATTACTTTCGCTCCTAAGCCATGTCCAATCCAGCAGTAAATCCTCCTGGCTTTGCCTTCAAAATAGACCCCGAACCCAATCTCTTCCCCTCTGATCCACCGTGACCACCCTGCACCGAGCCACTTGCCAACTAGACCATTGAAATCGCCTCACATGTAGCTCCTGGCTTCCACCCCAGCCCACTTCGACCTCTGCGAACGTCCATCAGACCATGAGCATGCCTCTGCTCAAGACTCCCCTGGGCTTTCATCCACTTTAGAGCAAAGCCCTAAGCCTTCCCAGGCCCTGCAAAGCTTTGCCACTTTCTGTCCCACACCTCAGGGTCCTTCGGCCACCCTGGCCACCCGGTGCTGCTGTGCTCTGGGTGCCCTAGGCTTGTGCTTTCAGACACCTGCAGCACTGGCTCCCCCTCCAGGCAGGCCTCTGCCTCTCCTTCCCCAGCCACACTCTCACTCCGTCCGCAGTCTCTCCATCCTCTTACCCTGTGCTACGGGATGAATTGTGTTCCCAAACTGATACATTGAAGCCCTAACCCCTGGTACTGGTGACTGATACCTTATTTGGAAATAGGATCTTTGCAGATATTAATCAAGTTATGAAGAGCTCATTAGGGTGAGCTTTAATCCAATATGCTGGTGTCCTTATAAGAAGAGAAGAGAAGACACACACACACACACACACACACACACACACACACACACACACAATGCCACGTGAAGAGAGAAACACACAGGTTAAAGATGGCCAGCTGACCACAGAGGCAGAGACTGGAGTGATCCAGCAGAAGCTGGGAGAGGCAAGTGGGGTGACACCCAGCGTGTCAGAGGCAGCATGGCCCTGCTCCCACCTTAATTTCAGACTTTTATCCTCCAGAACTGTGCAAGAATAAACTTCTGTTGTCTTAAGCCATCTAGTTTGTGGTACTTGGTGACAGCGGCCCTAGGAAGCTCATACAGCCTCATCATTGATTCTTCATGTCACTTATCACTTCCTGAAATTAATCTTCACTTGTTTATTCTTCGTCTGTCCTCTCCATGAGTTCACGAGTTTTACGACCTGGTGCAGGGAAAGCCATCAATCCACAGGACGTCCCTCCCTCCTCTGGCCTGCACAGCCAATCTCTCTCTTGCCTCAGACTTTTCTGTTTCTAAGGATCAAATTATTTGGTATATCAAACATACAGGCCCGAATCCTAAATGCTTCAAAACATTCATGATTTGCACTTGCCATCAATGAGAATTTTTACAATTCTTTTCCCGTGGTAAGAATTTCTGAACTAATTTTTACCCCCTTTTTCTAAAGAATAAATGGAGACACACAAATGATAGTTTTGGTTAGAGTCATCATCAGTGTTGCTCTTACAGAGATCTGGCTGTATTGCCCTCACGTCATGATAAATCTCTTTAGTCCTCCCAGAAAGGTCACCTTTCACAGGATCCCAAATAAACCCATGTTAGACTGAAGAGCAAATTAGCATTGATCAAGATCAACAACACAGTAGTCACAAATCAATACATATGCTTCATCATTTGCTCCTGACATTGCGTAAAATACGTAGATGATCAAAAGTTAGCCTGTGCCTTTATACTTCTTAAGGTAAAAATAGCATCCCCAAGCCCAGCCCATGTGGCTCAGTGGTTGAGCATCAACCCAGGCACCAAGAGGTAGCTGGTTCGATTCCCGGTCAGGGCACATGCCCAGGTTGTGGGCCCGATCCCCAGTGAGGGGCATGTGGGAGGCAGCCAATCGATGTTCTTTCTCATCGATGTTTCTATCTCTCTCTCCCTCTCTCTTACTCTCTCTCTAAAATCAATAAAGAAAAAAAAAATAGCATCCCCCGTCAATATGTATGGCATGCGTTCCATACAGATGCTGAAAATCAGGGCTGTAAGCCATGGCAACTCTAAGTGGGATCTCAGGCTGTTTATTATTTTCATGCCACAAGAATAATATGTGCCCGTCCACCTCCCACTCTTCATAAGGAGAAATAACATTACTTCTAAAACTTGAAAGCATTTTAGAATTAGGCCAGGCAAAGCAGCTGTGCACCCAATACACGCTTGTAGGGTAGCCTGTTTCTATCAGATGGTCTCTCTGAGAAGTGATCAGAAAAATGGAAAGGCAGTGGGATACGTTGAGTCATGGACTTGGGTCTGGGTTTGGCCATGCACTGTATCCCAACCTGCCAATCAGAGTCTGGCACTCTCATTGGCCTGTTCCCAGCCCCAGCCAGCCACATCATAACTCAAAACAGAAAAAGCATCCTTAATAGGTTTAGGGAAACTGTTATATAATTTAACGAGACAGATTTACTTTTCTAACTATGTGTTCAATATTTTATTCATAATTTATACTATATATTTTAAAGTATATACTTTAGAAACAAAGCCACAGTGCTATTCGCACACCTAAAATCTATCAATTATTTCTTATAAAATATTTAGTCTGTGTTCCACTTTCTCAGATTGTCTCATAAGTGTTTATTGCTTGTATGAGTGACATTTGGCTAAAACAGGGCTAACTGATTCAGGCAGTTTGCAGTCATTCTCAGGGTCTGGGCACACATTGATCGGAAAAATCCAGGAGGCAGAGGCTGTGCTGTTTCCTGAGCCTCTGAGGCAGGCATCTTGGGTGAATTGTATAATCAAATGAGTGGGCTATTTGAACTTATTTTGTCTGGCCACCTCCTGCCCTAGTAAAAAAACAAAAAAAAAAACCCAAATACCGCATTTCCTTCACTTTAGCAATCATATGAGGACCTGCCTGGAGCGTTTTAGTATCACATTTTACAACGTGAGCTCATGCCAGCTCCGCTTTGGGCAAAGAATACCTGTTGCTTCCCCGAGTAGAAACACTCCCTACATTTTATTCAGCAAGACTCCAGGTTTAAGGATCTTCAGGCTCAGCATCAAGTCCCACAACCATCTTGGACTTTGCAAACTAGAATGTGGTATTTTTTGGCTAAGGCTTCTAGATTCATGGGAAAGAAAGAAACTGGTCAGGACTAAGGAGTGGATAAAATGTGAGCCAGGTTGAGCTGGCTCCAGCCTGAGGTTGCATAACAACAAAAGCTGCTTTTCAACCAAAACTAAGCAAAAACTGTGGCTGTAGCTGAGGAATTCCAAAGGAGGGTTCAGGATGCCAGGATGTACCCAAATGCAAAATGTACTGCACGAATAACACCAATCGAATAAATAATGGAACCAGCAAGGCAGTTAAGTGCTAACAGTAATATGGATGTAGACATAGACATAGACATAAACGGCACATTCACACACACATAAAATACAGAACAGAACGGGCCCAGGACAGGCACACACACTGGAAAAAGCACAGAGGCGCAAGGCTCCCGTGTGCTAAACAAAAACGCATTTTCTTTATCGTTTCCCATCCACTAAGAAGTGTAATTAACAGCTGCGGGGTTTGATTCGTTTTGAGGTTTAATCCACAGAAAGATTTGGTCTAAGACTTAGACAGATCGTACGGGATTCAAGCCCTAGGTGGTAGAGGAAACAGACTGGGCTGCGGCTGGGAGGAAGAGCGCACTTGGAATTTTGCAGAAGAATCAGCAGTTGCCCTGCCGGGGTGGCCCCCGCCCTCAGGAATAAGGATCCCGGGCGAACGCGGAGGCTCGGAGGTGGAAGCCGGCCACCGTTCCGCGCCACCTCCCAGACCGACACGTTGACAGTGGGGGCTGGACCAGGCGCTGGCGGGGATGCTCGCTCTGCCCGCCCAGGGCCGTCTGGGCGCGCTGGAGCCTTCCTGCTGGGGACCCAGGGGTCGGGGTGGCTGCCACCGTCCCAGGGGCTCCCAGGGGAGGTGGGGAGGGCTGCAAGGGGACCCTCCTCGAGGGGCAGGTGCACGCGGCAGGGAGTGGCGCCGGGGCGAGCCGCGGAAGGTCAGGAGAGGAACTGCTGTCTGGAGGGCGACGAGGGTTGGGAATCCCGGCTCAAGTCGGGGCACAAACCTGTGACCCCCATTCTGAGTCACTCACCATCCTCTAGTGCTTCGTGCACGAGCAGGAGACCTAGCAGCAGCCAAACCTTCATCTTCAGGGCAAAGCGCCGGGGCCAAGGTGCTGGGGACAGCGGGTCCGAGGCGCGCCGACAGCTCCGGGCGCGGGCAGGGGCGCAGGGGTGGCGGCGGGCGAGGGGCGGGCGCCTGGGACGCCACAGCTGGAGGATTCGGTTTCATGAGGAGGAACACAGTTTTTGGGAAAAAGTCTTGGGATTTTTTTTTTTTTTAAAAAAATCTGTGTAATGTGACCTCTTCTGCCCCCTGGCGGAGCGGTGAAGCGCAGCGCTTTTTCCTGTGCGGAGATGAAGGGCTTAGGGCGAAATGTCCATTAAAACAATCCTTCAGTTTCTCCAAGTGGGCGTTTTCTCAAGGTTACCAACTTCAAGAAGACCCGGTGTGATCTTGCGGTCCTGACAGGGTCATATTTAACCATGATTGTTCAAATGCCTTCCGACTAGCTCAGGCAGAGGCTTAATGCTTTGCAAAAAGTGTCCCCTAAATATTTCATTCCCAGAAGGTCTATCACGTGTACTCACTCACAAGCCCCTTACTCTCAGTTGTTCTTGCGGACTGTGAACACGAACAGACCCAAGTGAGGGCATCAGCGCTGCTCTGCCCCCAACACACACACACACACACACACACACACACACACACACACACACACACTTTCTCTCTCCCTCTCTCCCTCTTTCCCTCTCTCCCTCTCTCCCTCTCTCCCTCTCCTTCTGAGTCAAGATCAGCTATCTGGGCGTCTTTTATTTATTTATCCTTACCAGAGGACATTTTTTGTTTAGATAGAGTGTGGGGGTGGGGGGTGGGGGGGAGAGACATTGACATGAAAGGGACACATCGCGTGGCTGCCTCCTGCACGACCCAACCAGGAACAAACTGCAACGGAGTTATGTGCTCTTAGCGGGAACCGAACCCAGATCTCTCCGGACTGCAGGTGGACACTCTAACCGCTGAGCCAAACCAGCCAGGGCATCTGGGTGTCTTTTAAATGTAGTAGGTATCTATTTTCTGCCAGGAGGCTCCTCAATTCTAGCAAATTCTTCCCCCAGACCCTGTGTGTGCTTATCATGAAGCATCCTGAGGAGATGATTAAGGTGAAAAGAAAATAACATCGCAAACCAAAATATAGAAGTTTGGAGAGATGAGAGGTTGGGGGAGAGACCTGGACACTATAGAGGGTGGGGCTTGAATTTGGAGAGCAGGGGAGAGAGGGGAGGAGGGAGGAGTGAGTCCTCTTGGTTGTCTGGCCAAGGTCAGGAGAGCATGGGCTTAGGCACAAAGCAAAAACCGGTCCAGCAGTGTTCACTGGCCAGATTGGAAGGGCAGATTCATGTGCAAGTAAAGTGGGAAATGAGGCTGAGCCAATCGTCTGGGGCTGTGGACGGCAGGGCTGGAGGGGGCAGAGGACTTGGGCATCCACGTGCCTCTCTGCAGGAAGACTATCGTGTCTGAGCCTGCAGGCTCATCAGGTCAAAGCAGCTTGCAGGTGTGGGCAGGCCGGTGTATTCCTCCGGGTGGGGAGCAGGGCCTCGCTTCCAGACCGTTCATTAAGTTACAACTAAAAGCAAGCAGGATTCAAGGTAACAGGAAGGGGACTTCTCCCTCAACGCCCCAGGGAAGAAGAGCGGCAGGTCATGACAAACTAGTGCTTAGCAGCCACTTCACGCCAGAGGAAGAATTCTACCTTCCTCGCCAGCTCTGGCCCTGGCCTCACCATTCCTCGTTTTGCAGTGCGGAGAACAGTTGCCTGGGAGAAGGGAGGTCCGAGGTTCAGGCCCTGTCTCTGCCACTAGCTCTCAGCTCCCACAACTCGAGCTCCCTAGATGTTTACTGTGTCTCCATTATAATGGATAGGAGGTTGAGACACCATTCCTACTTTTGAGGCAAGGACACTGGCCTGGAGACAAGCACTGAAACTACTGTGATGTGACATATGACGTTCTGGGAACATCCTGAGCAGACAACGGCAGGAGTAACTGAGCCTGGGCTAATCCCTACTGAGGTCCCTTTCCGTTCTGACTCCATGAAGTTGACAGCTGTCACTGTGTTGGAACCTGGGGTTCATCACGCCCTCCAGTGGCCAGGTCTTGCCTGGTCTGTCTCCTGACTGCACATCAAGTCTGTCCCTCTTTGCTATCATCCCTGGCCTCACTGCCCAGGCTCTGGCTGTTATCGTCCCTGACTGGGATATGGCCACAGCCCCCTAGCTGGTCTCCCTGCCCCTCCTTCTTGTGCCTCAATCACTCTTTCCCTAGCGATCAGATCTGTCTTCAAATGAAACTCTAAAACATCCAACCCAATATAAACCCTTCGAGGGCTCACCAGCAAGGCTTAGACTCCAGAGTTCGCAGCCCCGGGGTGGGGGTGAGGGGTCTCAATTATGCTCTTTCCATTCCTATTCCTTTTTTACTACTGAGGATGAGTGCCTTATCATGTTTTTATTAGCCATTTCTATTTGCCTGTGCGCTAACCACTGAGCCCACCAACCAGGGCCCATCTGAGTATTCTTAACAATAAAATTATTTCTATTTAGACTGTATTATATTTCTGAGCTTTAACTTTTCCCAATTAAAGAAGAATTTTAGGTAAGTATGAAATGTAGACTTTGGTATGTGTGATACACATGCATACTCCAGTATTACAAGATGTATTAAAATTTATTTAAAAAATACATGGTCACATTAGAAAGCCTATTATACAGTGGTAAAGCAGCAACAGTTTTTATTTATTACAAATTCTAAAAAATAATCCAACTTTATAAGTAAAAAGAAACACTGATTATCATTAAAAACATTCAAATTTAAAATTACCTACGAAACAAAAAATCTTTACATTCGCACAAGTCCAATGTTGGTTTTTACAGACCTAGGATTTCTGTAGGGTTTGGGGCCTTAACTACAGTTTCGATTTAGTACAATGATAACAAACTAAAGGAATAAAACAACTGGGCACCCCTAGTGGACACTAAAGATGAAGAGCCAGTCAACCAGGCATGGGCCAGAGAAACCACCTTGTTGGTAATACAAGGTTCTTCATCACCTGAAGCTTGGCCCAAGCACTTTGCACCCCGAGGCTGTCTGTGGCGGTACAGGGGTTGCAGTAAGCCGGGCCCCATGATGCCAGTTCCAGGGAGCAGCCATTGTTTTCATGAGACACAAAGGTTCTTTCGTCCTGGTCATTTACCTTGAGGTACTCATGGGGTATTTGGAACTAATTTTAAGGACCCCAAACTACCTTACTTTTGTGTGAAGTCTTTTATTTCATACCCTCCTGTTACATCCCAAGACCCCACCCAACAGGGGTAGCTACAGACGCTCACACTTTGCAGGCTGCCTGACCCTGGAACCAGCCCAGGGTCCTGGTTTACAATCCCCACGGGGCCCCAGTGGTCAGTGACGGCTCTTTAAGCCCCAAGATGTGGCAGTGGCATCAGCCACAGTGAATAAAAGCTACTATAGTGCTCCCAGCAAACAGGGTTGCCAACTGGGTTGAGCCATAGCAAAATGCAGTTGAAATCATCAGTAAGACTAAACTGTGTACATATAAACAGTAGTGAACGTTACAAAAACCAACAACCAAACCAACAACCACAACAATAACAGAGAAGGCCTCTCAAAACCCAGAACACAGAAAGCCATTTAAACATGTTTAAACATAATTATACAAGGAGGAAAAAACAAACAGCTAAACAACAAAGTCAAGCAATCTTGCTTTCAAATCTACATTAAAAAATGACCTGCGCTGGCATTATGTACTGCATGAACCTGGGTCCTTTTCCCCTGATGTTTTAGGACACGTTAGAGAACATAAGCAGAAAATGGACAGAGAAGGCGCTATTTTATTTGGGCTCTAGTAAAACAAAACAGTTTATCGCCTCGCCCTGAAATTCACACTAAACATGTGAATTTTAATATTCCATGATGCACAATCCAATCCTTTAAAATTCGGTGGAATTTTCTTTTTGGTGTTGACTTGGAGTAAGTCAGAAGAAATCAGGCGGAGAACGTCATGAGCAACATCACAGGGAAGGCAGAGCTGGAAAGGCCTCAGCTTGACCACTGGTCCGTGATCTCGGCTCTTGCCCCGACTTAAGAGGAGGGAGAATAAGGCTGACCTGCGCCCTGTGGCCTGATCAGCTCTGGAGGGTGGTCACTTTCCTTATTCTCCTTGCTAAGCATTCAAATAAGTTTAGAAAATAATTTGGTAAATACAGATTTGGATTCAAAAATATTGTAACAACTGCCTGTCAATTCCCAGGACTTAAATATTTTAGCTGACATTTACAATTTTAAAAGTTTTTTTTAAAAAGAAATCTTTATTCCAAAAAATGAAGAGGCTCTTTTAAAGGAAGATAATTCTGAAATGGATATTTTCCGTCAACTAGGGTTGGTAACAGTCAAGTCTTATTTATCTACATCAACATTAGTTCTGCTTTAATGTTTATACCCCAAATGAGGTTCTGGTCTTGGTTTTCCTGCTGTTTCTCTCTGGAGACAATGTGATTATGTAATAATCTACATTTCAGTATATAGCAACAGCTCTAATGTGAGTTTTCTCATAACTACTATTTAAACTTGAATTTGCAGAGCTACCTTGTTATAGGGTAGGGGGGACCTTTCTAGGGTTACTCATAAACCATCTTCTCTTTTAAAAGAGTATAAAATAAAGGTGTTATTAGAACAAGTTTCTCACTGAAAATATTAAGAAAACATATTTCCTAGTGAAAAAAAAAAAAGTAATTTAGGCTGTTTTTATGTAATCAATGAAGAGAATGTGTGTAAGAATGCTTTAGCTTCTGGAGAGGATTTTATGTAAGTGTGATTGATTACCAGTCAAATCTATAAAAAGCGCTTTGGTAATCCTAAGAAAGTAAAACCAACACTTTGTTCAAAAGGTTATGGATCCGAGTGGAGGGAAAGGAAAGTGGTACCAGAGCCGGCAGTACCGGCTCCTCCCGGACACACCACGACGGACATGCAGACAAGGAGAAGAAACCGGTGAACAGAAACACCCAAGTCCTACCCCCTCCATTTCAATCACACAGCACCTGTTACAATGTACTCGAGTTTAGTGA